AATACTTTATATTAGTATATTGTACTTAAGTTAAACTGTTTTCTAATTTAGGGTTAGTTTTTAGTAGTATAAAACATTCACTACAATTGTGTTTGACAGTGGTGACAATTCTTCTGTGGCAACTGTGAATGATCAATTGTTTTAGTGAGGAATACATTGTTTACATTGTTTACATTATGTTTTCTCACTTCTCTCTTCTTCATCTTCTTCAACCATCCTTCAATTACTCTGCAGCTTTGAGTAACCCATCCACAATGGAATCTATTGGTAAGGATCAATCAAAGTTCTTAGATATTGTGGCTAACAAATTTGAAGTGGAGAGCCTCCATGATGACCAGTGTCAGTGGTGTAAGAGAAATAAGGTGGTGGATTCTGACTATATTGGCTAAAGGAAACATAGCTATTGATGAACAACCTCAAGGCAGTGATGAAGAAACTAGGCAGTGTAAGTCAATTATATGAGAGGTGTTAATCAAGAGTAGACAGACATTACACCATTCTTGAACTGAATTACACTGCTGTACTGTATCCAAGACTTTATAATAAGCTGATGTATCATAGGTGAGGAGGAAGATGATGAAGAACCAGACAGTAAGTGGTATTCCAAGAGCTATTTTAATTCTGATACTAAAACAGTAGTAGACAATGACCCAGGTAAAAGTAAGGCTTGGTTCTATTATAGTTTCAAGACAACTAAATAATAATGTACACAACTCTAGTATCCAGAGAGATCATCAACCAGAATCTCCATTGGGAGGACCCTGTCAAACTTGTCATCATGCAAGCATACCTTGGGACAGTGGCAGTCCCAGTTGATCAGATGAACCCCAATTGGGGGTCTGGAATGAAGTTGAATTGCCCCATCAACAATCACCAAGTGAAAGAGTTATCAACTCTGTTCATGGATACTGGTTTGTGAAAGACCACCATGGAGAACAGATTGTCTGTGGGTTGCACAGCCAATGACTTTGCTAGAATGGTTGGATTGCCACCACCTGAAGTTTTGGAAAAGCACAAGATGGGAGGATATAGATTTGGAGCTGAACTCAGCTACTTCCCAACAGGTAATGCAACTGGCCAGGACATTGCATTGTATGCTAGTCAACATTGCTATGTGGCAATCATCTTGATACTGTCCAACCACAAGAACCTTTCTGAAGAGGAAAAGTTAGATGTAAATCAGGGCCAATTCAAACCATGGTTTGATTTCTGACTTTATCAAAGATAGTGATCTGGCCAACAGATTTTTATGACATTAGTATCTTGACTGAGGAAGCTAAAATATGTCTATGTGAAAACATGCAACCAACTATTCTAAAAGAAAGTGATGGTAATATCTGGGCAAGACTGAGCCAGCTTCTACAATTAATGACAGAGGCTGAGTATAAACAGCAACTGAGCTCTAAAGCTGAATTTGAGTCCTGGGCTTCTTGAGTGATGTGACTCCTATCAACTAAAGTGCAAAGATTTTGCATGCTTCTACAGCATGCACTGAAGCCTGTAGTTGACAAGATCTGCTAGACCCCCTGGGGTAGGGAGGTTCTGAATGTTTCTACATTGGATTGAATGGCATCCACCTGAATGGACAAGGTAAGCTATTGAAACTATGGAGACCTGTAATTAATGTTAACTTGGGCAAAGATATGGACAATGTATTTTAATGTAATGTTCAAAAGTATGGAAACTGTTATGGGGTATAACAATTGGGAAAGATTCAGTGCTGCAGATGTCAAACTTGTTGAAGTGGCATGCATGGTTTTCATGGATTCTACCAAGCTGGCACACACCATGTTTCCAGATTTGTTGACTGTGAAAATGCAATTAGCAAAATATATTGCAAATGTAGGATCAAGATCCTACTAAAACCCTGAAATATTCAAGTACCTCAGTGATGATGAGTATGGAGGTGTCTATGACAAACTGGCAAAAGGCAACATTCCATGCATCTATATGTTTGCAAAGCTCACACAACTTGCCAATAATGAGTACCATGCTGTTGTGAAAGTTTTCCAGTACATAATCAAATGGGTTAATCCAGTGTATTAGCCTGCTAGAAACACTTTGAAATCTTGAAAACATGAACAGTGGAAGGATCTTATTTGCCCATACTTGAATATGTCTCTCCTGATGAAGAAATTTTTGAATACACAACTCAATACAGTGGATGACTTTATTGTTCAAGTACTGATCCACTTCACTGGTGATGACTAAGACATCTGGCTTGAAAAATCCATTGCAGCTTCTTATGTAAGGAAAGTCTAACACATTCATGAAAAACTGCTAAACTTTTAGAATGATCTTCTGGCAGATTGAGAAAAAAAGGACCCAGACAAATGGCAGCAGATGAAGCTCTACCAACAGTGCTTTGAGCATGTAATTTGGGTTAAGCTTTTCTGCATGGTTTGGGAAAGAACTGTTGACAACATGATCAAATATTATCTGGTGGAAGGAGTGGACAAGGTAAGAGCATTTCTCTAGTATGGAGCTAACCTTGCTAATTGTGGCAGCAATCTAGTGGGAAGCTGTAGACTGTATAGGGTCCTAAAATCTGTAAGAGCATGTATGCTTATAATCCCAAGCTGTGGAAACTGGACTTCATCAAGAACAGTGATAATAAAGTGGAGCTAGAAAAATGGGGTGCAATATTCAGTGCCTGGTACTCTTACTTTGAACTTCAACACATGTTATAGAGAGAACTGCCAGTAGCTTCAACCCCTAAGAAATGCAAATGAGCACAACCAGGTGCAGACCCTTTGTCTAGTGTAAGCACAAATCAAACCATGGTTTAAATATGAGCTAGCTAACACATTTTATATAGGAAGAATGACAACTTTGCCAAACATGGCTTCAGAAGTATGTAGAGTTCTTGAACTCATATAGATATGGTCTCAATCCATTGAATGATGATGAGGATGTCACATTCCTCAATTTAGATAAAGCTCCAGACCAAGGACTCCCAGCCAGAACACCTATAACTCAGTAGTATGGCACTAATACCCTCATGCTTGGCTCTTGTGACATCCACCTGTAGACACCTGCTAAAGCTGAACAAGATGGTAAGTGTCAAGAACCATCTACAATGTCCTTACTAACAGCCTTTAGACTTGCCAAGCAACAGAGGGTGATCAGGGGGTGGAACACTTGCATGGTGACAAATTAATAACCTGCTGTCTACATGTACTCCAGCCAACTACCATTGATAAAATGAAGTAAATTGAATTTACACTAAACAAGAATGTACATTTTTCTAGGCTCCAAATAATTTGTTTCTCTTTTCCTGTTCCTTATAATAGTCAATTGTAATGCACATAGCCTAGAAATATAAGTTTTAAAATACAAAAAATCAAACCATGGTTTAATATTGTGAAGGAGAACTATAGAAATCAATGAGAATAATGTAATAAACCAAGAAGAATATATAAGACTATTCATTGTTCAATTAGAATTCTATATTTAAAACAGTATAAATTCTATTTTATTCCATGATATTTGTATATTAGTAAAATTATGGCATAAAACTATAAACAAGATAAAAATGTATAGCAATATAAAATAGTAACACAATAAATTATCTTGAGAAAAAACTATTAAAAATTAATATCACAAAAAACTAAAATATAGTAGTGTATATTAATATTAATCAATACTATAAACTTGTAACTTTAAGGCTAAAGTTAATAAATAATCTAGAAGCTAAGAAGATTAATAAAATCTTACAAATGATGCTTAGTTAATGGTACATGGTTGCTACTAATATTTTATATTCTTTTTAAATAGCCTCCTTAACAATGTAAGCTTCTTGTCTTATACATATCATGCTTATAGCTATTCTGTAGTGGCCATGTCTAAGCTGTTATCTCATTATAAATATCTTAAATTAAACCATGGTTTGATCTATATATAAAACTTATTATAAATGTTTAAAATGAGAGAATTTTTTTATAACTTCAAATTAAACCATGGTTTGATTTATGCTTAAATTAATAGTTGTATACCAAATTATATTTCCAAGATTAGTAGAAAAAGTAATATTTTACTACATTTATGTAATCATTTGAAAATTGGTGCAAATTTGAAAATGAAAATTGGTTCTCTGATTACAATTTAATTCATTATGGTCACCAAGATTGATTCATCTATGATGAAAAGTCTAGCTCCTTGAGAAGTTGCTGCATCTTCTCTACTAGGAACCAAACAGATAAGTATTGATATCCTCTCTCTGCAGTGGAATCCTCTATTTGGAACAAATAGACCTCCAAATTTACAACACATAAAACAGCTTGCAGAAACCTTTTGTGCCACAGGACTACAATGTACAGCTCCAGAGAATTGAATTATAGTTTGTTGTACAAAAAAACACTGGAATCACATTGAAGGAATATTACAAACATTTTAATAAAGGGTTAGAGCAATCTCATCATGTACAGAAGCATCTATGCCAGGCATTGGTGGGGAGCTAGAAATGATCTCAGGACAGCATTGTATACTTGCACTAAAAAAACTGTGGGAAGCAAGTCCAGCTGAAGAATATGAGGAGGTTAGTCTGGCCAGCATTTGATGATTACAAAAAGCTTTGTACTAATATTGTTAAAGCTCTTGT